GCGCCCGGGACTGGTGTGTTCTAACTAAAAAGGAAATATCTGTGGAACCACACAAAAATGAGATCTCTCATTGCACTCTGAAGTGGGAGACCGAGTGCTCCATCTGCCATGCTGTCTGGCTAACTCAGTGGCCCTCAAGCCCCTCTGATATATAGCCTAGACTCCACAAAACTCTATGCAAAAATCAGGGTTCTGGGGTCAATGCTGAAGGTTAAAACTTTATGGACTCAAGCATGTAGAAAAGAAAAGGAACAATTTGCCTAAATCCAGAGAATAAATTTGGAGGGTGAAGGGGAAAGCATGACACAAAAACCAGAGCTCAAGATCAGGCTCAGACAAGGCTGCCGGTACTGAGACCTGCAGTTGGCTAAAGCTGCCACCCACCGATGGGACTGGTTCTAGGCCCTGGGCGGGGCTGGCCTGCACCGTGGGAGGCAAATGCCTCCTCTTGTGGAGAAGAGGGGCCTGGTAGGGGGTGAGGGGAAACAGGGGTTTTGGAGATCACAGGTGTAACAACCATATTCTTTGCATACGTGATTTAAAATTTTAGTGAGGTAATTCTTAGGCATTTTTTATTCTTTAGCCTTAATTCAGAATGTGGGAAAACAGAGCTTCTGGTAAATGTCGCTGGAATAAATGAACGAGTGAATGAGAAATAAGTGGGGAAGCATGAGCCCTTGGTGTTATTCCCCATAGCGTTCTAAATTTCTCAGGTGCCTGTAGTATAGCTTTCGGACAGCAGATGGCAGCATTCTACGTCTTCAACCTCAGAATTCTTGACCGGAAGAGAGAGCTCAGACATGAGCACGTCCACTCCTCTCCTTTTGAAATCTAGAAAACTGAAGCCCACACGGTGTGATGTGACTTAGATGGCCCAGGACTTTGGGGAAGAGCAATACAGGTCTTTCAGTAGTAATCTAGCACTCACTCCCCAATGAAGGAACAAACAACATTTCAGCTTTTTTTTCATACAACACTAATAGATTTCTATCAACACATTCTCTCGTCTGACCATCAGGCATTGCCATTTCTGAAGTTCATTTCAGCCCTTAGAACGGCAGCCTGGCCCCTGGCCAGTGGAAGAGAGCACAGTTACAGACTGGGGATTTAGGGACACCGCCTCTGGGTGGCAATGCAGTGTCATGGTGACAACACTAGCCTAGAATCAGGCGAGACCCAAGACCCGGGTTGGAGCCCAGCTCCACACTTCCCAGCTATTTGGCCTTTGCCTGCTATGGATCCTCTCAAAGCCTCCATTTCCTCGTCTTTAAAAGGGGATCATAACACAACATAGTAAAATAAAATTAAAAAATAAATTTTATTGAAATAAATATAAAAAATAAAATGGGGGAAATAAAAAAAATAAAGGGGATCATAACACAACATAATAAAATAAAATTAAAAAATAAATTTTATTGAAATAAATATAAAAAATAAAATGGGGGAAATAAAAAAAATAAAGGGGATCATAACCATGTTCACGGTTGTCGTGTGGATAGAATGAGATTCTGTCTACGAAATAGCTGGTACTTATCACACAAGCCATAAACATTCGTTGTTAGTGCTGGTCTTCTTATTACTGAGTACGCTGAACAATAAATTGGACGAATGGTGCCTTTTGAAAGTAAATGTGAGCTATGAATTAATTACTTCAGTAAACTATTTTAGAGCACACTAAACAGGAGGGACTGTGTTATGTTAGCCAGATGTTTGGGGGAGACAAAGATAGATAGGATCCGGCTCCTGCCTTTGAGGGTCCTGCAATTCATGGTCAACAGGGTTTGTGCTTGAGTAAATTTAACCAGTAAATGGTACGCTGCAGCTGAGCAAGTATTTGTCACACAGCCACTTCCATCTAGTTGCTGCAGGGGATACAAAGATGAAGAAGGCACGGTTCCTGCCCTGGAAGACCTCCTAGTCCACATGGGAAGCAGAGCCAGGAGAGACATGCCCGAGTAGCTTACGAGGTCCTCGAGGGGTGGAGGTGATATCACATCCATGCCCGCATTAGCTCAGAGCCTGGGGTTTAGCAGTGCTCAGTGAAGGTAAATGTAGGAAGGAATAAAGAGCCAGTGGAAAAACACTTTAAAGAAGTTAAAGTCCCAGTGACATAGCTGAGCTTCATCACTTACTAAGGGTGTGAACTGCAACAGGTTACTTAACCTCCCTGAGCCTCTGCTTTCTCATCTGGGAAATGGACATGACACTACCTTTCCCCATTATTTCAGAATGGTGGCAAACATCAAATGTCACAGTGATATTAAAGCACTTTATGAAATTGTGAAATGTTTAAAGTTATAGGAATATGCAGAAAGCAAGACAGAAATTACCATGCTTTGTGGAGAGTGTGTTTCCTTTAGCTTAGGAACAGTTTTACATGAATCCCTGGTGATCCTTCCTTCTTTCATTTTGTCTGAGAAGCCGTAAGAAAGGACAGACCCACAATCCTACCTTCACATATTGGTGGGGAACCTGTCCAATGTCCAGATGGAGTACAATCCAATATTTGTGGTCCAGATAAAGAGAATCCTTCATCACAGGCAAATTGGCATGTGGACTTATAACCGGAATTCCCAAGAGGCTGGACACAGGTCATTGTTCCATTCCAAGGGCTTAGCAGAGGTGTGCAGGGAATGGCTACAATGGGCATGGTAGAGAGAGGAGAGATGGGGTCATTTTAGAACACAGCAACCTGAAATCAGTGTGTGTGTGCATGCATGTGTGCACACACATGCTTAATCCATAAGGGCAGCATTTGGTTAGAAGTGGTCCTTTGAATTTCATGCTGCTTTCTCACCAGTTAGAGGTCACGGATATATAAAATAGCAGCAACTAACAGTTGATTGGCATCCTGAAACCTTCACCCACAAAGAGCTTTAAAGGTCATTTTAAAAGGGAGCTGGTGCTTTGGAAAGATAGCATTTCAGGTGTCCCTGGACAGGCATGGAAGTGGCTGCTTCCTTGACACCTTCAGAAACAGACTTAATGACCTTGCCAGAAAACAGTGACAAATGTGTTCCTTACCAGCAATGTGTCTCTAGACCTTTCTGAACTTCAGTTGCTTCATGTATGAAATGGGAAAAATAACACTCCTTGCTTAGCAGGGATCCTCAGTTATATAAAATAATAAGTTAAATAATATGTAAAAATTAAATTTAAAAATATTTTAAAAATCATGGACATGTGGTAGGCACGTAACGTAACTGGCCATCTGCAAATGCTCTTCCCATCAATGTCATCCTATGGTGACCAGCCCCAACGACTCTACTTCTTCACTTATAGAAAAGGTAAATTACATCTCATGGTTCTTTACCACAGTTTATACATATAGAGTTTGAGATGCTAGGGGACTTACTTGGGTTGGAGATCATGCTCTGTGACGTGGGACAAGTCACTTAACTTCTCTGAGCCTCAATATCTTCACTTTTAAAATGTGGAGAATGGCATTGCATAGCTCCCAAAATTTTTACAAGAGTCAAAAGCAAAAACACTCTGTATGTAAGTGTTAATAGCTGTTGAGATGTCCCTCTGCCATTTAATGAAACTATAATGCCCAGATTCAACATGTTGACATTAAAAAGTGAAGACTATGAGAATGCATGGTTTAGGGGTTTCTTCTTCACTGTTTGGTTTGACTGACTAGTGTATGGCTTCAGACCAGAGTCAGTGACAGTAGGGCTGAACCCAGGGCCATTCTTTAGCCACTGACCTCAACTGCTTGAGGTTCTAAGAGTATTTTTTATACCTTTCTATTCCCTTTACCCTCTCCCCTCTCCATCTATGTTCCCCTCAACCTGATCAACTTCTCCAAAGACCTAGTCATTTTCTCCCACCTGAAACATCTTTCTGTAGTGTGTATGTGTGTGTGGTGGGAAAGAGGAGAGGAGACAAGTCAAGAAGCCTGTAACCTGTAAGGACAAATTGGGAGGGTCTTGGTGCCATGGAATGCGTTTCCAGCTCTTTTGTGGTCTTGCCTTCTGATAGCTGGGGTTATGGTAGCTGCATATCAGAAGGCAACAAGGCAAAGAGGACATTGAAGAGGGAAATTGTCTGATAACACCCTCTCAGAAGTCTTACAACAGCGAGCGGGTTGCAAGCCTCTTGGCACCTTCCTGCTCAGCCCACATTTGGGTATTTCACTTGATGCTCACCCAGCAACAAGAGGAGAAAGTTCAGTCAGAGTAAACAAAGAGCTAAAAGCAGAAGGGAACTGGAAGGTCACAGGAAGTCATGGTGAGTATCGACCTCCTTGTAGTGAGACACCCACAGGCAGGACAGTATAGGGCAGTGAACTATAACTGATTACTGTGATAGAATTCTGTGGAAGAATTCTAGTCACTGTGATAAGCCTCCTCAAGGATTCTGAGTTTTTCCCCAAAACTGCATGAACTTTGTAATATCTCCAGGCTCCTGTGTAGCCAGGATTAAAGCTGAGAAGGCAAGGTTGCAAGCCTCACTCTGGTCTTTCCAGACCCTGCCTGGAAGGTATATTCAACCCCAGCACCTGCATTTGGAATCAGTGGGTTACAGGATGAAAGTGTTTATTAATTTCCAGTCCATTTCAAGCTTCTGGCCCCTAGACAGTCACCACCACTAGCATATAGCCTTTTAAAATAGAGCCTACAATGGATTTCAAAGATGACTGGAAAGAATTCACTTTACCTTGGCATTCTGGAGGAGGAGCGCTCCAGTTGCCGGAACCCAAGCACTGCAGCATGCTTGCTCCCACCAGGTGTAAGCCTTCCTTGCAGGTGAAGCTGCAGGTTGATTGGTACCTAAAGGCACCAAATGGGTGGGAGCAGTTCACCTGGGCCTTGTTTGGAGCTGGAAGATCATGGCACTGCAGAGCTAAGAGGTGAGGAAGTAAAGAAGTAAGGGAGTGAGGACAGAGTAACACACAAGTACTCATTAATTTTGACCCCTTAACCCTTTCTAGTGCCAAGAACAGGCATTTCTGAATGGGGCATGTTTAAACTGGGGGATGAGAAAAGCATCCATCACAATAGCACATGAAGAATTTTATAAGGAAAATTCTAAGCCATTGTTAAACATTTTGACAATATGCATGAATAATTTTTCAAGATCATATTGTTAGACCCAAGAATGTATGCTAAGAATGTAATCACGATGCTTATCAAAAAATCAATTCAGAGATTTTTTTTATGAAGACATTATTTGTAAGAGCAAAATATTGAAAATAAATACAAATGCCACTAATCAGAGGCTGAAAATAAATTATGGTGGATCGATGAAAGGAACACTAAAGGTCACTAAAAATGATATATTTCACCTTGAAAAGATATGGGAGGTGTCTCAATGTACAATGTTCAGTGAAAAAGCAGACTAAAAATTATATATATGCTATGATCTCAATCATATAAAATAGATGGTCATAGAGAGAGGACAGGTGCATCCTAATATGTTAAGTCTTTTCTCATCTTAAAAATGTGAACAGTAATTGTAATTACCTTACGGAGTTAGACTATAAAGTGTTCAATAAATAGTATCTGCTGGTAGCAGCAAGCAGCAGCAGTTCTAGTGGTGATAGACAGTGGTAATACTATTAAAAGTACGCATGAGTTGCAGACCCTGATCTCACCGTCACAGCAGAAAACACCTGGGAAGCCTGGCAAGGGAGTTATTGAGGCCATATCTCGGGAAGCTTAAGAGAGTACCCAATTATCTCTGGGGTGTGATAAGACATTTACGTGCCTGAAGACAAGAATGGCCCCAGTGGTCTCTTAAGATCCTTCCCTCCCTTCGAAGCACAGCAAAGGGCTCTTTTGTGTCTGTCTCCTCTCAGACCATAAATTCACAACACATCCCAGTACCCTCACCATCATGGTGCATGGTCATCTACTCCCTCGCTGCCTCATTTTTGGGTTGATTTTTCCATTTTTTTAATCGTGGTAGAGTACACACAGTATAAAATTTACCATTTACCACTTGACTATTTTTAAGTGCACAGTTCACCGACATAAAGTACACTCATCTTGCCGTCAGCCATCACCAACCAGCGGTAGAACATCTGTCATCGTCTCACACTGAAACTCTACACTCCTTAAACAGGAACTCCACATCCCCCTCCTCCAGCCCTTTGCAACCTCCATTCTACTTTCTGTCTCTATGATTTTGACTACGCTAGGGACCTCATATGAGTGCACTCATCCCTCATCCTTATCCGTCTTTTACGACTGGCTTGTTTCACTTGGCATAATGTCCCTGAGGTTCATCCATGTTGTAACATGTTAGAATCTCCTTCTTTTTTTAAGGTGAAATAATATTCCATTGTATATATCAACCACATTTGGCTTATCCGTTCATCCACTGAGGGACACTTGGGTTGCTTCCACATTTTAACTATTATAAATAATGCTGCTATGGACATGGGTGTACAAATCTTTTTCCCTCCTTGCAACCCTGCTTTCAAATTACTGCCTCATTTTTAAATCGGGGTATACTTAGATCCAGGGGATTCTCATAACTTGCCCGGGGATCCCAGTAAATAGCAACATGAAATGTCAATGTTGCGTCTCTGGGACATGACTTCTGTGTGGGATACCCCTTGTCAAAATAATAATCCTAGTGACTTCCCTATGCCTTTGTTCTTCTGTAAGAGCAAAATATGGAAAACATGAACTATTAAAAGAAGATTACTTTGTAAAATCAGATCACAGACATAGGATTTATAAGGTAATGTTATTGTTTTACATACATTTGTTTTTTTTTTTTTTAAAGACTTTATTTATTTGACAGAGAGAGACACAGCGAGAGAGGGAACACAAGCAGGGGGAGTGGGAGAGGGAGAAGCAGGCTTCCCACCGAGCAGGGAGCCCAATGTGGGCCTCAATCCCAGGACTCTGGGATCATGATCCGAGCTGAAGGCAGATGCTTAACGACTGAGCCACTCAGGCGCCCCATGTTTTACATACGTTTGTAAAACTCGTAGCAGTTTTAAGCTCACTTTTACACACATTAATTCACAACCACGAATGAGGCCCGTAGGCAAGGCAGATAATAATACTTCCATTTTACAGGAGACACTGAACTTCAGAGAGACCAAAAGCTTGTTGCCAGGAAATGACAGAAATAGACTAAATGCCTTGCCCATTACTCTTCTACCATCCCACGTTGTTCCTCATTCATCATTCCTTCCTCCCAACCCCTGTCTCCTTCATGCCAACCCACTCCATCAATCAGTGCAATCTTCATCTTGAGTTCTAATATGCTGTAATGGATGTGTGCTTTGCTCACCATTTCATCCCTAGGGCCAGCACAAAGGGCCTGGCACTAGTAGTTCTTAGTGAATGTCTGATGAATAAATGACTTACTTCTAAATGCAGGTGTGATGCCTTTAATAAACTGAGAGACACAGAAGGAACGTTCCAATGTCACAGTACCTTGACACACCGGGGCTGGCGCTGTCCACCGTCCCAAGTCAGTACACTGGACTAGGTCAGCTCCTTCCAGCCTGAAACCCTCAGCACAACGGAAGCTACAGCTGGTGTTGTCCTGAAATGCTCTCGAGGATGGGGAACAATCCATGCTTCCATGAACAGGACTCTCCAGCGGCCCACAGGCAATGGCTAAATGGAGACAATTGTCATCTGAAACTGGGTAATGGAAGGGCTCAGTTCCTTCTCAGGAGAGCCTCTCAAGAGATGCATCTTTCCTACCCATATTATCAGCATGTTCAGAACACTGAATCCTCCCTTTTCCAAAATGGAATCTGCCCAGAACATCTTCCTATGCCCTTTTTGCCTGGATCATTCACCTGCCCTTGGACTTCAGCTTAGATGTCACTGTCCTTAGGAAGCCTTCCCTGCCCACCGCAGCTCAGGCGTAGGGACTCCTTTAGTGTGCTCCCCATCCCCCCGGCACCTGCAGACACTATTGTAGCACTGCCCCTTGGACCACAGTCTCCTTGAGGTTGGGCTCAGTCATTCCTAGTTGTATCCCAGGGCCTGGCAGTGATTGGTATTAAATATTTACTGGTAATATTTGTGGAATTGGATCTGGAAAGAATTGATATAGAATAGGCTGGACTTTTAAGGAAAAGGCTGGACTAATACAGCTCATCATTGACACACTGTTACCTAGGCTTATAAAATGATCCTGAATGGGCCATATCTCTGAAACACAGGATGTCATTGTCATCAGACTTCACTTGCCAAGTGAGTGCAGCCCAAGGAGAATTCCTGCACAAAATTAATCCCTGAGTGACCTCAGTTCTGATGAAGTCTGATTTCCTCATGCACTTCCTTGATAAAGCATTTCGTCTCCAGACTGTTCCTGGTGGTTTTTTTTTTTTTTTTTTTCAGAGTATAAAGACCTCCCGTTATACCCTGGGCTTAGACCTCTGGTTTTTACAGAATCGGGACCTCTAAGAACCAAAGATCCTCTAGTGCTTGTTCTCTCTTCCTTTACGGATGAGAAAAGTGAGGTTCAGAAATGTTGTTACTTCCCCAAGGTCTTATATCTGGACAGTAGCAGAGCTAGGCTTGTAATCAAATCTCCTGGGCACTCGCTGATCCAATCTTCAATTTACTGCTCCCCGATCCCCCTTTCTGCCTAATAAGCTGAGGGTATGAGGCAACTGCACAGAATTCAGCTTTGTGCTCTTGTGCAACCGTCAAAGTCACCTCCAAAGACTACAATGGGGAATCCCCCTCCTTGTCCTAATCGCCACCGTTCTGACTTCCTCTCAAGTAGAGGACTTGTCCCACAGCTTTTATTGCCAGTGAGGCAGGAAGGGAAAAAAAGAGATAGAAACTGAATGCCCAGTCCAATGCTGGCTACTTTACACATGCAATTTCATTGTGTACTTTTTATATCCTTCATTCTCACAAAAGGACCTGGGAATTCTTAGCTCATTTCATGGGTGAGGAAACCGTGCCTCCTGGAGGTTGGATAACCTGTTCCAGTGTCAGAGTCTGGAGGAGGCCATCCTGAGGTGAAGAGCCCCTGATCTTTCCACGGTGCCATGACCCTTCCTGGGTGGAAGGGAGCAACTAAAGGAAACTCCTACCCTCACAGGCTGGCGAGGGTGAGGTCCATTGGCCAGAGCCAGTGCAGCGGAGTGAGGCCCAGCCCCTCACTTGATAGCCAGGTTCGCATTCAAATTTGCAGCTGGAGCCATAAGCAAACGCAGCGAGGGGATGAACACAGTCCATGGATCCCTTGCCAGGGGCTTCCAGGAGCGGACACTGCACAGCTGGAGAGAACAACCAAGGAGAGAGAGAGAAAGATACTGACGAAGGAGAAAACCAGGCCCATGGCCAGAAGGCACTGATAAAACCACCTCAGGAAATCCAGGTGGAGCTAGGAATCTGTAAGGGTCAGAGACCCTCATGATGTTTGTCCAGACTTGGAGGACCAGTCCACAGGGTGACCTTAATCTTAAAAAAAAAAAAAAAAAAAAAGGAGTCTTCCAAGGTTTTTGTAATATCCTCTCTTCCCTTTACCTCCATAAACCTGTCCTGGTAGGTCTTCTACTTACAGACATAGATGCCATTGTTTCCTTCTTGTGTGAAATTTATGAATGGGGCCCATTCTCAAACTGTTCAAGGATGTGAGTTTGGGAGAAGGGAGGACTTTTAAATTTAGTCTGTAGTGAAATCAGCCTCTTGTTTTCCTGGCGCCTGACACTCTTTTCCTATCCCAGATGTACCCAATGTACTGGGTGTCAGGTGGAAGGAGGGTCACGTTGTGGTGGTTCAGGCCAACTTCTCCATAGCTGGCCAGTCATCTGTACTCACAGCAAGAACTGGGCACAGTGGACATTATGCATCTCCAACCCCCCGGAAACTCACCTTCACACACTGGGGCTGCGGCTGTCCACAGCCCCGAGGCCGTGCACTGCACCACCTCTGACCCAACTAATGCAAACCCCTCTTCACAGCTAAAGCGGCAGCTGGACCCATACTGGAATGCTTCAGCAGAGTGTGGGCAGGTCACGCTTCCTCGCTCAGGAGTCCTCAGGGGTGGGCACTGGACAGCTACAAACAACCACAGAGCAATGGTGTGAGCCTGTGGGTTATGCCCAGCACCTGGGAAACCTCAGGATGCTACAGCAGCTATCTATAACCTTCCCTAAGTGATGGGCAAGGTGATACACCTGGTTGGTTAGATGGCACTTTTCAGTAGCGGTTTCAAAAGATCCAAACATCCTCATTGTTCATTTACTTTTTAAAGAAGCAAGGTAAAATGATCAAATTAACAATACTCAGCCCTAAGTCCTTATTATTATACTCTGCTTGCTTTGCAATTAATAAAGGGAGAAAGGACCTGTCTCCCTTTGTGATACTTTTGCCTGAGAATCAAGAACTACGCTGATTACCTCACTCTATAGATAGAAAACATCATGAAAAGCAAAATTAGCGTTACTCTCATTGATGGGTAATAGTAAAAATCAGAATTCCCCATCTAATGTGGATCCTCATGCTTTCTCATGTTTTTTAATGGAGAAAGCTTGTTTTCCCCCTCTGAAACCGTAGTTGTCAGTGAGGATAGAAAGAATAGGGTTTACATACCTATACATTGTGGTGGCTCATTCGTCCAGGTTCCAGAAGCCAAGCATTCCAGCTTGCTGGGGCCATTCAATTCGTACCCTTCAGAGCAGTGGAAACTGCACTCTGAATTGAAAGAGAAGCTTCCCAGAGGGTGGCTGCAGTTCATGAATATATGCTGAGGGAGATCAAAACCCCCACACTCTCTGACTGTGGGGACAAAATATTGATTTTTCTTTTCATTGCAGGTTTAAAGACCATGTCAGTTTTGCTAGAAGTTGGAAGCTATTTGTATAACCCTCTTAACCCTGTCTTTCTTTTTTATTTTTTTTAAAGATTTTATTTATTTTTTAGAGAGCGAGCGAGAGAGAAACAGCATGAGAGGGGCGAGGGTCAGAGGGAGAAGCAGGCTCCCCGCTGAGCCGGGAGCCCAATGTGGGACTCGATCCCAGGACCCTGGGATCATGACCTGAGCCGAAGGCAGACGCTTAACCATCTGAGCCACCCAGGCGCCCTAACCCTGTCTTTCTGGGCTGCTAACCCAACCTGGTCATCTTTACTTGCTGCCTTTGTATTAGCTACATCTTGGGAAATAATCAATCTTTCACTGGTTTTTATTTCAAATGAGCAAAATCTGCTTTTGTTTTGCTTCGTTTATGTTTTTTGGATTTTATGAGCAAATGTTCCAAGAATGAAATGTTTTACCCAGAGCGTGTGTCTTGGGACAGTTGGAGTGGGGCAGACTGACAGACCATGGAGAGGGCCAGGGCTAGCCTTTACTCACTGGAGAGTCTTCAACATGATTTGCTTCCTGACACCACCTCCAGCACAAGACCAATGGCCACAACAATAACTACAAAATAGTGGCCTCACCATATTCACATTCTGGTCCATAGAATCCAGGGAAGCAGGAGCAGGTGTAGTTCCCGATGGTCTCAATGCACTCTCCTTGCTTGCTACAGGATGTGTCCTGGCAGGAGGCTGCATGCATACAGAAGGATCAGAATCATGGGCATTCCCGGGAGGTGGGAAGAAAAGCTGGATTCTTCCCCAAGCCACAGACTCAGCCCCACTCAGATAAGATTGAGCCAGCCAAACAACAGAAAATGACCATGTCCTCTTGGGGTGCCAGCCTGGTCCCCATGAAGGACATTGTAGGAGCCCCACCGGAATGTTGCATGGCTTCCACCTTAGGCTGAGTTGAGTGTTGCCTAAGGAGGGATTGCTATGTGTGGCACAGAGAGACAAAGAGTCACCAATGGATGTGAGACAGAGAAACTCCTCTATGTGGCACAAAATAGGTTGTGACTTTTAACCAATAATGTTCTAGAGTTCTATTATTACAGAAGCCCCTATGACAGAGAGTAGAGCATAAAGATTAGGAATCAGATGTGGGCGGTCACACATATGTGATCAGAATCGCGGCTCTCCTGCCTACTATTATGGGACCTCAGACAAGTTACTTCTCTGAGGCCAACCTGCCCAAGATCAGGGCCAAAGCCCTTCCACCTTTTGTTCATTTCAAATCTGTACCCAACACCACTGGTGGAGGAGCAGAGGAACCAAATGAGATGCTTAAGACTTCCCCGTGGTACAGGACAGTCTCATGAAGAGGTGTTTCGCAGGTCCAAATATGCCAGGCTTAGTTGTGGAGAGCATGATGGCCGGCCAGGCCCTTCTCAGTAAGTCTGAATGGAGAGGGGCTGGGGTTTCTTTCCTGCAAGAGACTTTTTGGAGATGGATCTGTGCACTATGCACCTGATGGAGGGTTAGCATTAGAATTGAAAATATGAAAGCACTGAGAACATTTTTACTGATGAGGTCATAGCTGGGGGTAAGGTCTGAGGCTAGACTATTTTCTGATAGTGTTTCCTCTGCACTAAGCCCTGGCTACACATGGTCCACTTTGGGGTCCATTATAAGAGGAAATTCATATGTTACATAGAGGGTTATATTAGATGACCTCTACATTCCCTCTCAACTCTGAGATGCTAAAATCTAAAAGTCATGCAGATTCTGCAGGAGGACGTTCTTGAGGCAGCCAGCAAGTTTGGTGAAGCTGCATGGGGCTACTGGGAAGGGTTTCAAGTAATGGGAAGATGCAGAAGGAGCAGTAGCCTAGAGATAGACTTTGGTCCACATCTTCCATCCTATCACCTTGACCCCACCAGTGTCTTCCACCAGCGATACCTGTCTGCCCTATGCTTTCAGAGCATATGCATTTTGTTCTGATTGTAGCTTCCTCAGGATCTCAGAATGTTAGACATGAAAAAACAGTCAAAGTCTATAGTCTCCACTTTAGGGTTTCAAGCAGGTTAGTAACTTGTCTATACCTTTGAATCCCCAGGAAAGGACATAATGTTGATTCACTGAATGAATCTTTTTTTTTTTTTTTTGGCTAGACTGTTCCGAGGTCTAACAAATCCTGACATTTAGAGAATTGGTCCCACTTAATTTCTTGTTGTAGTCTACATATCTATTTCTCATCCATCTCCCACAGAGAGTTGATGGTTCCCTACACCCTTTACATCTTGGGTGGCAAAATGCCACTCAGTGATAGTGGCTGCCAAGGGTGTTGCATTGGTGGACATGAGAACTGACTGTGCTCCAGTGAAATTGCAACAATTAACGATGTCCACTATTGTTGCAGGTTAGAGGAGTGGCATCAGCGTCGTGCATGCCAGGAGTAATCCCTTTTCTTCCTTGTGACTTTTTGCAAGTTTTATTGGGGAAAACGGTCTTGCAGATATGGATGTTGAAGGTTGGGCAGGGAGGGGAAGCAGTGGCATACTGGAAACATCGACTGGCAACCAAGATAATCTTCCAGGGACCGTTCCAGGGAGGCATAACCCAGGGAGTGTCGGGATTTGACTGGGAGGGCAGCAGGATGCACTAATATTCTGGTAATGTCCATCCTGGCCTACAAAGAACAGGTCCTGATTTTTTAAATTAACGAATTTGTTTGTTTGTTTATAAATTATTTATAAAATGAGACCTGAATACATGACAATGCATTTATGGATATGTTTTCTCTCAGATAGGAGGCTTGAGCGAGGAGAGAGAGAGAAAGTAGAGGAAAGTGGAGGAAGAGCTCTGAGGGGAGGTGTTTATATAATTTAAAGAATTTATTTATTTATTTTTTACTTTATTTTGTTTTTTATGTTCAAATAGCCAGCATATAGTACATCGTTAGTTTTTGATGTAGTGTTTAACGATTCATTAGTTGGGTAAAACACCCAGTGTTCATCACCACACATGCCCTCCTTAATAGCCATCACCTAGTTACCCCATCCCCCCACCCTCTCCCTTCTGTAACCCTCATTTTGGTTCCCAGAGTCCAGAGTCTCTCATGGTTTGTCTCCCCCTCTGATTTCTTCCCATTCAGTTTTCCCTCCCTTCCCCTGTGGTCCTCTGTGCTATTCCTTATGCTCCACATAAGGAGTGAAACCATATGATAATTGTCTTTCTCTGCTTGACTTATTTCACTTAGCATAATCCCCTCCAGTTCCATCCATGTTGATTTTAGAACATACATAGCAGAGTGTGGCATCTGTAAGATGATTTATGAAAGAAGAAGCTTCAGAGTACTCAGGACTGTCTTGCCCAGGGCCGTCAAGTCTCTCTCTAGCCACAGGGTTTGTGCACTACATGGGGCAGGAGGGGCTCCTCTATGTGAGAAGCAGCATCAGAAAGATGGAACAAGCACATGAGTACAGGAAGACCAAGCTTCCATGCATGTCTGCTTACTTGGGAACTGCTTACTTCATTGAGAAGCAAATACCCTCCCAGTTACCTCTTCCCTTTCCTCACACCCCGAACCTCTCCCAAAGTCCATCACACCTGAACACAGGTTGTTGTTGAAGGGAATCTAAAGCATTTGTGATTCTTGGTCATGTTCTCATGGTGTCTCATGAGAATGTAGAGCAGAGAGTACAGTAGCATTTGTGGCTAAAAAACACCAACTTTGGATCATGAGTTTGAAACCAACTCCACCATCAAGTAGCTTAGAACCTTGAGTAGATCCCTTATTAGCCTGAGCCTTTGTCTCATCAGTGAGATGAGAGTACTAGAGGACCCAGTTGATGAGGTTCTCCCAAGGACTAGACGAAACTGATACGAAATAGACTCCTGACCCATGAACTAACAGCAATGCCTGCACCATACTGACGAGCAGTAAGTATTAGTTACAGCTGTGTCTCCTGGGGGCAGGGTCAAGCTACCTTTCAACTTCTACTAGGGCAGAGTGGTGCAAAAAAGCTCTGGACATAAATTTTAGGAAACCAAAACTTTCTGAGCATCTACTTCATCAGTTATGAAATGAAGAAGATGGGTCAGATGATCGTAAAATTATCATAAAATTCTAGTTTCAAAAATCCAGTTTTCTCTAATCCTGATCTTATATTCTTCAAGGTGCTCAGTAACACTGCTTGATTGTAGTTTATTCTTTGTTCTCACATCCCTGGCTTTGTGACTCAATGTTACCGACACAGTGGCTATATTAATGAACCAGGGAAGTTATTTGTTTTAAACAGACAATCTTCAGAGTAGAGAAGATCCTACCTGTATAGCATAGTGCCCGCTTCCTTTTCCCGCAGGGCTCATCATTCCACTTGCCAGGGGCCAACACACTCTTGATGTAGATCTCCACACAGTCCTGGTTGTTCTTCTTGTTGTTGGGCTCATTGTCAGCCCAGTTCTCAGCCTCTTTGGTGAGAGGCTTTTTGGTTCCCACCCAGGTCCATTTATCATTGATCTTCCGGATCCCAATCCAGTAGTAAGAGCTGTAGTAAGGTATGACATCATTGAGGTAAGCAATTTCTTTTTTATTCTGGATGGCCACTAAATCCGTGTAGTGCTTCTGGCAGAATACCCGGGAATGGTTCCATGAATATGCTTTCGTGCTGTAATTATAGGTCCATGCTGCCACTTCTTTCTGCTTTATTAATTCTGAGTAAAGGAGAGTGAATGCCAGGTTAGCATCCCTAACCAGAAGGATTCTGTGAGCATAAATACACTTCTATGTAGTCAGATGAGCTTCTGACTGGAAAACAAATACTTAAAACATGACTCTTTTATGTCTAATCTAGTTGTTTTAAGGAAGAAGAGTAGTTTCCATCTTTCACCTAAAAATATATATGTGAAGTCAGAATAGGAAATTGTACTCTGAGGATCCTTAGTATTAGAGATTTGAAATCATAATGGTAACAGAGTTGGGTCGTCTAATCTTCTCCTCCTTTTATAAATGGAAGAGACATATTAATTAATTCACCCAATTTAAATGACACATAAAATGTCTTGGTGGCTGCTTTGAATCTACAGGTTCTGCCTCTTCACATGGAAAATAAGATGCTCTATGATCTGGAGTCTAGCTGCTGGCCCAGCCTCATCACCCACCATATTTACCTTCTTAGCAAAACAGACTCCCACTTTGTATCTTTGCAATGCTCTTCCTGCTATTCTGGCTGCCCTCCCCACATATGCCTTGTAAATTTTCTTCACCCTACTTTTCATGACTTGCCCAGGTAGGCTTGCTGCTCCTTCCTCCAGGCTCCCACTGCACCTCATCTCTGCTTCCACCTCCCTTATCACTGGGTATTGGAATGTCTCTTCCTGTGACATGGTAAGATGCTAGATTGTGAATCCTGATAGTGGTCTGTTTTTATCTCTGGGTCCTTCACACCAAACACAGAGCTTGGCACTTAACAGGTGTTCAGTAAATACTTGTTGAGTGAAAGACAACATGTTTGTGGCGGAGACAGGTTACAAATCAAATCTCCTGATCTGCAATCTTACACTCATTCCACCTCTTGACTATTTCTCTTTGTTAAATTACGCTGTGTCCTCCATTTCCGCTCACTCACTTGTTAAAACAAGCCTTTTGAAGACATGTTTGTGATATTAAATGAAATAAAGTATGTGCCCTTCAAAAGTGTAAGGGGCACTCTGATGGAAGATACTGTTTTTGTAGCCAGTGGGAACTCACCCGGGCCAGAAGAGGCCAGATCCCATGTGAAGAAGTGTACAATGCAAGCAATCAGACCTGGAAGTGGCTCTCTTTCCTGTTTATAGAGTCTTTTTCCTATTCAACCCTGTCCTCTACTGCCCACATGAGGGTCATTTATGTTTGTCTCTCCCTCACTGACACCTCTATTGAATTGCTTTGCCCTAAAACTTTATTTTGGAGTCACCAGGGCTGCATTATTGACCTCCATGGAGTTTAGGCAGTTTTGCCTTAATCTGCCTCTTCCTCCATAATAAAATATTCAAAACTATATTTTACAATTGCTAATAAATTTTACAATTTACTATATATATATATAGTATGCTAAGACATTTTTGTGGGTCCGTAACGGTACTGTGGACCAGTGCCCGCTGTGTCTAATAGATAATTGGTCCTGGAGATGTCCGTTTCAGTTTGTCCAGAGTTTTCCAGCAATGTGATGGTGTTGGGTGCATTTTTTTTTTCCAGGCATTTGGGTGGGGAGAGTATTCCCATGCCTCATAACAACTGACTACCATCCTTAAATTCTCCTACTTGGAGAAGGTCCCCTCATTACTCAGGCCCAGATGAAGGGTTAACATAAATTTTACCAAAGATCAGGGCACTGAAGCAAAGGAGTTGGACAGTTCTGAAGATCACTCTCTGAAATCTCCAGTTCCAGATGGCTTTTAGGCACCTGGCCTGAAACAAGAAAAGAAAACTTCTTTTTAGCATTGATGTGAAATCAATGGGGTCAAAAAAATTCTTGTTAATAATCATTATATTGAGTCATAATCCTCCCTGTTTCCATCAGTATGGAGGTTCAAGCCCTCTGCTTCATTCTTATTTCTCACTGCTCTGTTCTGAGTTGTACCCTGAACCAACACCGAGGACAGAATTTGTTTCTTACCGAGGACAGAATTTGTTTCTTCTTTCATTCGACAAATATTTGTCAAGTAACTACTTTGTGCAACTAATATTTTTTGTTTATGAAACACTTTGTAATAAACACATAAGAAAAATATTGTCATTATTATTATGCAATAATCTCCCTTTAAGAACTAGTATGCCATACCCCCGAATACTAGGAAGTTGCATGCAAACTCCCTGACTGACCTATACTTTGATGCACGGGGCATCAGTGAATTGTCCTGTGCTATGCCATCTACTCTGTATTATTGATCTATGTTTTATCTTCTTGCTTGACAATTTCAGCCTATGTCCACAATATTATTCAATATTTAATATATATGCAAAGTACATATATATTTTAACACATATAATAAACTTACTCCCTTTGGATCAATAGCAAGTATTATTTCTAATGAGTTCCCTTCTGTTGGGATTTCATCAAATCTGTTAACATTTTAAAAATGTTTTAGGCAAATAAGTTCCAGGAATACTCATCTTGTGCAACTCCTTCCTGTCACACATGAAAGAACTGAAGGTTGGGGAGTCTAAAATCACATGTGCTTTCAGGAAATTCAATCTTTTAAATTTTGATTTATTACCTTTTTTGTAAAGAAGTAAGATGTAGTGATCAAGTAAAGACTTTAAGCTTAAAATTGTATTATATTAGGTTATAATTCTGCAGAGGAAGTGGAATAGAAATAGGTATTAAAGGAGAGAAAACAAATAATATAAAATTTCCTATTATCCGGAACTTAGTTATGTTTTTTTTTTTAAGTGATGAGGGTTATTAGATCACTATAGCATTTAATTCCACTGGAATGAATATTAAGAAATGATGTGACATTTATTGTAAAAGGCTATTCTTTACAATGTATTGGACATCCCATCTTTTATTAGTTTTAAAACTTCTGACAAAAAAGTTAGCTTTCCCCTTAGAAAGGTGTGAGAGCTTGTACAATTTTCCAAAATTCTTTCAGAGGCACAAGCAGCAAAAGTATTACAGCTGAAGAACACAATAATGTAGATCTCATGAAGGAGACCCCAATATTTACCTTTGAACATGCGCTGGATTTCTTATCCAGTAGACTAGAGGAGAAATATAGTGTTTGCAATCTAGTGGTGCTCTCTGTGTGCCCTTTGGAAGTGTTTGTCTCCCTGTACATTTCTCCGTAGAGCATTTCTAGGGGTTTCTCTGGCTTTAGGGAAAGTTCAAGGAAGTGTGTGGGAGGTTGGTCAAGGGAGGCTCCTGCTTCCCTATCAGTGCCCAACTCCAGCCACTATCCCAAAAGAGCTGTTTCACATTTTAACTAGTTTGTTTAAACTTTGAAATGTGGTTTAAACAGAATTGAGAGAGAGAGAGAGTTTTTAAAATTTTAAGGTTTTCAAGGTGGATGTTGGGTTACCATAATGATTCTTATTCTTGCAGGACTTTTGAATTCCTTTGAAAGTCTGATAAGAGCTACAGTCAGGATTCTTAAAAAAATGCTCAGTTGCAGGGTTTTTTTAGGCAATTTCAGTTGGTTCATGGACTCACTAAGTCTGTCCGTGTTTAATGGACCACAAGTTCAAATCTCTGTGAAATTCAAGGCAACAGAGTAAGTCACTGGCAATGGACAAGGGTTTTGTGTGTGAGCCTGGAGAATGGGTGATGCCTAAGAATCTTCCTTTGAGTGGCCATTTTCCTCTGAAATTTCCTTGGGGTGGGCAGGCTTTCTCACATCTGTTCCTGTTCCACAGTGTCATCTTCAACTCTAAGATCCTAGAGATTTAAGGACTGTTCCCTGTGTTACTAAGCCACTTAAGTGTTGAAACAAGAGGAAATGTCTCTAAGAGAAATGGCCACATGCTCTGCTAATCTTTCCTTTAATGTTCTCTGGCAGTCAACTTCAAACTAGAAGTCACTGGGAAACAGTCTGTGACTGGGTCATTAAAATCACATCCTGTGCCTGGGTAAACCTTCATTAAAGCTGCTTCACACTGTGGTTCTCTTTAATTTTACTTTTCCTAAGAACTGAAAAAATGGGGTGAAGAGAGGGGCAGAGAGAAAGTGCAAGACCAAATGTTTTTTCCCTTGCCCTCACTTTGCTTAGGAGGAGGTACTGGATGCCAGCAGGAGTCCGATGGCTGCCGGTATCAAAGTTGGCAGAAATGGTACCATGGAAAGCGATTATTTCCTCCTGTGTTGTAGACCACAGCTTTGTGCTTTCAGAGGCAGAATTGACAATGTCCCTCCCTGGACTGTTTGCCTTCTGCCCTAATACTGATTTCTCTCCTTCCGCTTTGGTTCAGGTTCTTTAACTTCCTTGTTTCCCTTTATTCTCCAGCCTCCTCCAACCACCAGCCCACGAAACTGCTTTTGCTAACTTTACCACTGCAAACCTAATTAACAAACCCAGTGAACACTCTCCCTTCTTATCTTCCTTGACCTTTCTGCAGCAATAAATACTACTGAATACTTCCTTTTATTTAAAATGTTTCTGTTGGTTCTTCTTTTGACTCTTATCTGACATCTTGAGCAATTTTGATGAGTCTTCCTCTGAGTCTATCTCAACCCTCTGCTTGCACTTGTAGAGATAGAGAGTACCCTGGGGTCCTGCCTCCATGACCCTATTCTCTTATCACTCATCTGCTTTCCTGAGGTCTTCTTCTGGTCATCTGTGTGCCAAATGGCCCCCAGGCAGCATCTCCAACCCTGACTTCCCTCCTGAGCATGACATCTGCAACCCAAATGCAAAGCAAGCATATGAGTGTACAGTTGGAGAATGCTGCTGGCCAAGGCTTCTCAAGGCCAAGATGACTTAGGTCTGAATCTCAGCTATAGTAGAGAGCAGACACTTCATGTTTAATAAATATTTTATGAATGAATGAACAAATAAATAAGAACAATGGCACAGGAATGACTGAAAGTAAGAAGTGGGTGCTGAGTAGGAAAATACTGAAAAAATATATGATGATTATAACTCAATATTTAAGGGCTACAGCAGTAATTATATCAAATTTAAAAGTATGTTATGATTAAGCAGAAGAGTGTAAGAAAGTTGTACAAAAAAAATGATCTTGGTACTTTGTCTCATTCTATTTGCTTGTGAGAGAAGCAAGGGGCGTGATGGCTCACATCCTGTGTGAGGGAACAAATGAGTAGGACTCACTCTCTTAACACCATACAGGTAAGATAGAAGGATATGTGGAGAAGTGGGGAAATTGAGGATTTTTATAATGGGTGGTGTGTTTCAGAAAAGCCTGGAGGGGCATCAAGTAGCAGCAGCTCTTAGAAGTTGGGAACGAGAAAGCAAATTTCAATCTAACCCTCTGGAGTGAGTGTGACTCTCAGAAAGCCTCTAGCACCAAAGGGGACTCATATAAGAGGCATAGGTTCCTACTAGCAGACAGTCTCACTGACCTGAGGCCTGAGACGCTGAAGTCCTTCATCAGGTGGACCATGAAGGTTCAAAGACCAAGGATCTTTCTCCTTTGTCCAAACCCTTCACATCAACCTGTCATCAAATCCTATTGACTTTACCTTCTGACCAGATACTTAGTCATTCTCCAGATTTCCACTTACCATTAAGGTACATAATTCTTTCCTTTCTGCACATCTTCTAATTGGTCTCTCCTCAAGTTACTATCTTCAAGTTACCCATGTTCAATTATTTCTCTATAATGAAGTCAGAAGATATTCCTAACACAAAAACCTGATCATATTACTTTACTATTTAAAGTCCATCAGCTGTTCCTACTCCTTGAGCAATAAACACAAACTCTTCAAGATGACACATGTAAGACCCTTCGAAATGTGGCCTCTTCTTTTTGTCTAGTCTCATCTCCTGCCATTAACTTTCAGTTTATTCACCCCCACACAATTCTACAATGCATTTATAACAAAACATCTTGTAGTTTCCAGAATGCCCTGTATGTGCCCTATGTTCTCCTTATTGCCCAGAGAGCCCTCTCCTTCTCTGTGTGCCTAGCTCTAAATCCAAAAATCTCCTCCTGAAAGGAGACTTCTCTATCACCAATCCTCCCCTCCCCGCCACCGCCCCCACCAAGATAGGCGCTCCCCGTTACTCCCTGTTCTTTCCCATTGTTTATTTCAGTAGCTATTAATTTATCAAATGCCTACAATGTGTCAGGTACTCTTCAAGGCACTGGCCTTAAAATGGTAAAAACAGATACCATTCCTGTCCTGTGGAATATACAATCTATTGAGGAAGACAGACAATGAAATGCCAATAAATACACAGCAGTTCCTAACAAATAAACTCGAAACCTGGAAACAACTAGTGATAAGCGCTAGGTAGGGAATTAAAGTGGAGTTATGTGGTAGAGGGGCTGGGTGGTTCCCTTAGGCAGGGAGCTCAGGGCAGATCTCTCTAAGGTCATTTTTAACTGAAAGCAGAAGGGCCAGAAGAAGCCAGCCAGGGAGAATCAGGAAGAAGAGAATTAAAGACAGAAGGAAAAGTTGATGTGAAGGTATTGAGTGGCAGCAAAGTGTGGAGTGTTCACAGAACATGAAGCATCAGTGTGGCTGGAATGGAATGAGCAGTGGAAGAGCATGACATGAAGCTGGTGACAGATCACTCCGGGGCTTTAGGAACTAAAACAAGGGGATGAGATTTTGTTCTAAATGCAGAGGAATCAGAGGCTGGGGTGTTTTAATAGAGGCAATGATGTGGTCTGATTGATGTCGAAAACTGGGAGGTCCTAGAGGTTAATTGAAAAGGTAGTTTTGATGAGGGAGCAAAAAGGGAGCTGAGGGCACAGCACAAGCTAACTCCCTGCAACCCACCCCCCTCCCAGGTGGGATATGTGTGAAATTCCTCAGGCACTGCTGGCTGTCCAAGAACAAAGGAAAGGGAAAAACAAAGGGCTAACTGATAGAGCTCACAGTCATGCAGGACAGGAGTCTCCATCAGTTTGCAACTGTCTTAATGATTTACAATAAAAGAGCAATCTCCAGAAAGCTATAGACTCAATTTCCTGGAACCCTAACATCACCCTCCCTTCCATAGGATAGAGAATCTTATATCACCAGTCACTCCTCACAATCCCAGTGCAGCTCTTTCTGCCCACGGGTCCTGTCCCCATGCTATAATAAAAACACTCTTTTTGTACTGAAAAAGTCTCAAGAATTCTTTTGTGGCTGCCGGCTCCGAACCACCCCCCCTCCAAATCACATCAGTTTGGGACTAGATCTTGTGAGTCTGATGTAATAGTGCGCAGAAGGGATCTAATTGCCAGGGCTCTGAACAGAGAAGCGTCCTGAGCAGATGCACCTGATTATGGCGGTTTTGATGAATTAGCTGCAGAGAGGTTGTGCTGTGCAAAGGGGAGCCTACTGTACTAGTCCCAGTGGGAGTAAAAGGGGGTCTGGCTTGGGCTGTGGGCAATGGGAACGCAAAGCAGGGAGGTAGATGTCAGAGTCACGGAGGAGGCAGAACTACACAAATTGCTGGTGGCAGAGTCCAGGTTTCACAAGGCATCACAACTGCACAATACTGCCCTGAAGTTTCTGGACGATAGTGGTGGTGGCAGAGCACTGATGTTAGTAGCCCCAGCAGCTTAAAGGTAGAAAATGAAACACAGTGGAAAAAAAAAAAAAGGGGTCTCTAGGCCAATAGCAAACTAGAAATAAAGACAGGCAGGAACCCAGGACATTAACACTGAGAATCAAAGCGCATATTTAAATTAGACTACCAATCACCATTATTTAGGTTGAAATACTAGCATTAAAAATAAAGTAGCATACCTAATTTTTAAAAAGTCCATTGGGGCATGACTGAGCTATATCCCTACAAATATAAAGGAATCATTTTGTATTTGACTTTATGAAGTTTCTGTCTGCTTTTCAATCAAAGAAGTGAGACACCTAAAAGATAATGTAATAAATGTCATTCATGAAACCACCATGTGCCTACTCTCTAGGATTGGTCCAGGGTCTTTTCTCAGTATTGCCCATTATGCAGCAGGTCATTCTGATTTTTGAAAATTTGATTAGTAAGCTTCCACTTACAGGATTCTGAAGCTACATATTCTAAGAGCCAGTGGCCAGCCCCGGAGAAGGTGAACCAGGTAGCTTCATTTTGAAAAACAGGTAATGAAAGAGTAAGAACTAAAAGCCTCAGACCTAAGAAGGTTAAGGTATAAATGGAAGAAAATCCAGACCTGTTCCCTAAACCACTAGAACTCTGACTAACATCAGCATAATTTAATTGCAAGTTCCCAATCAAGAGCTCCCCTCTCTGAGATTCATCTCATTGAAAACACCCCACCAGATAAACCTTAGCCTCTTTCCTCAGGTCCTAGAGGTTAATTGAAGCCACTCTGAACTTGAAGCCAAATTTACACACAGAGGGTTAAGGTTCCTGAATCCCAAGAGCCAAATGTGCCCAGGGGCAAAGGAAAAGGTCTTACTTTTGGAATACTAAAAACAGTTCTAGAGCTGGAGTCCTCAGCACTAGATTGCAGAGTTCCAGCCCAGTTTCAAGAGGCTAATGGAGGAGCTTCTAAGCATAAAGCACAGGAGGCAATAGAGTGGGGTTCTTAACCTAAGACCCATGTGCGGGTTGGGGAACCCACTGTACTTGTCCAGAAAGCTTGGTGTTTATGTGGATGTTTGCATTTTCATCTGGGATGAAGAGTTGTATTTTCACTAGAACCTCAAGGAATCCCACGATCCAATGTGTTAACATACTTCTGATATAGAGGAGGATCCCAAACTGAATAAAAGGAAGAGATGACTAACTCCTTATCCATGTAAGTTGACCAACACAGAGGATGTATGATATGCAAAAGATGAGACAAAATCAATCCACATTCTCATGTCATTGGAGTTCAAACTCAGGACAGACTCAAACTCATTCCTGTTCTCTTCAGTCTTCTTCTCTATTCTCCCCAGTACAGAAAATCCCCATTGCAAATATTTGAGAAGTGTACCATAGTAAAGTAAAGAGGTGAGGTGAATCATGTATGAATGCTGCTTTCTTCTGGCATCCCATGGAAAATGGCTCAAAAACAGAGAGAGCTGATTCCTTGCTAGCCACGGATTGCAGGATTTTGGACCCTGGGACTGTGGGAGATACTCCTGGTAAGTCAGAAGTAAAACCATGTGTCTTATCTGTTAACGAGTTCAAAAATGCCTAGTTTTCCTTGTATCTTTCCTGGATCCCAAACTCCACAAATTTTTTCTTTTTCACAACAATAATAGCTGACATTTACTAATCAGCTACCATGTGCCAGCCTCTGATTTAAATGTTTTTCAGTGCAATCTTATTTAATCTTCACAATGACACTATAAAGTAAAGTGCTAGAACTTACTTATTTTACAGATGAAGAAACCGAATCACTAACAGGATGGAGACTTAAGGCAGAAATGGAAACCATGCGGATACTCCACATAAGTCCCAGCAGACTCCTAGGGCTCAGAGAGGGAACTAGGAGGGATGGGACGAGACCACATTCAATCACAGGTTGTCCCAGGACACCTGCTCAGCCTCGCCTTCAAGCCAGAAAGAAGAGCAATCCTGGAGAAGGTGGCCAAGGGTTTACCAAGAACTGCACCATGAGAGTTTCTGTAAGCTCCAGAAGGAAAAACAGCAGCAGGGGAGCCAAGGGACCGAAGTCCAGATCCAGACAACGTCAAGCCTAGCAGTGCGGCCGTAGGTGAAACTCCTGGTCTCCATAAGACTCAGGGGCTTCATTCATCACATGGAAATAGCAACGTCAACCCCCAAGGATGTTAGAGGGTCAAAATGGACCGCAGGTTTGGACATGCTCACACTTCAAAGGGCTATTCAACATAAAGAGCCTTGACTACTGCTCTTCCTCACTTTACCTGCCGGACTCAGCCTCTACGCCACCATCTCATCCAGTTCCCAGAGTACAGAGAAAGGAACTTACCATCTCCTCTGCGCCTTGGCTTCCTCTCTGCCGTCTGCCCAACCCAGACTTCTTATAGTCTTGCTGCCTCCCCTCAGTGTCAAGCTGTTTAGAAAAGCAACTTCCTATTCAAGTTCCAGAAATTCACCACAGCCCTTCCCATGAATTTGGATGTTGATAATACAGGAGCAGTTGATAATACTTAGTAGCAGTGGTAACCGGGGGGTAGGAGGTTACCTACTTCCATGGAGGATGGTCTGGAGACAGGGGCAAGTGTGAATCACTCCTGGACATCCTGGGCTGAGCAGCGCAGGAATAGTGCCCACACCCCCAGGGGTCAAGTTTCCTCTGATTATGATATGAGCCCCAATTTAAGGTCGTATGTTTGGAAAATATGCTCTGTCTTAATCATAATGCCCCAGTGTAAATTTTCCATGAGCCCCAATTTAAGGTCGTACGTTTGGAAAATATGCTCTGTCTTAATCATAATGCCCCAGTGTAAATTTTCCA